TTGCACTTTATGACAGGTAAAGCACTGGATCGTCTTGCTACCTTCAAAAGATGATGATTGCACTAGAGGTCCTTTCAGCTTTTTGTAGTCAGAGAGTTGCAGTTCTCTCCAGATATTGATGAACTTTTCCATATCATTTCCAGGTCATCCCAGTTCAGATATAAAACTCGAGGCCTTCTCGCGCTGCAAAAGATTAAACGGAATGCGTCCCGAATCGCGGACATGATTTGAGATCCTGTTACCAGACTGTACAAAAAATATAAAAGTTGATATGTCTGTTAATGGATTTGCCATCTCCGTGGTCACTATCAGAATATGCTCCAGGTCATGGTGACTGATGGCATTAAGAAGTTTATCTGGTCTATACAAATGCTTCACCACTGACCGATCAGAAATTTCAGCTCCAGACCTGAAGCTTCAAGGTAATATTATTCACGTAAATGATTTGTTACCATGATGATCTTTGTGGAATCTGTATGACCACATCACCCGATTCTTCGATTTCGGATGGCTTGCTTCCAGTCACTGTTGTGGTTGAGAACTATTTAACATTTCTTGTTTCCACGCACGTCGTTCCATCAACCGGTACAGAAAATAAATATTCCACCGTATTCTGTCCTGCATTGGACAAAGAAGCACTAATTTTTTGATTTTTTAGTGCAGTCAAGACTATTGGGCATTGGCTGAATTCAACTAATGCCCGTAGAATCCCCCTAAGATCATGGCAGTCGGCTTATCTAGAATCAGATTATTCTTTGTGCTCCGCACAAGGGATTCCCACTTGAGACGCTCGCGACGAGCATTTAGCTTTGTACTCCGTTCAATGGTCGACAAGAGATGAATCTAGTTGGTGTAGTGATGCAAGAGCCGCTGGAAATTGCAATCGGCAGCTCTGAGAAGTTGTCTGCACTCTGCAGTAATAAGAAAATACTGGACTTCCATACTCGTCGACAATCAAATGCATGAATCGAACAGGCACGGTTCTCACGTGATTCAGTTAGTCATCCGCAGTCTCATCGTGTTTATGAATTCAAATCTTTCATTCTTGAAAGGTCAAAGTTTATAAGATCCTTCAATTTATGTCAGGCAAAACTCGATTCAGCACTCTTCTTTCATATAACTTCCAGTCTGTGTTTTAAACTCTCGATCAGGTATCGTGAGCGAGGGGCATCGATGAACGAATAAATCTCGTAATTTCGCACAAACGCATCACTCCTGGTTAAGATGATTAATAGTCAATTGTGCGTGTCACGGTAACCTTGGAAGGATGCTAAGGGTTTTCAAACCGCTGACATACACTCCGTGGCGAAACATTTGTCGTAAGACAACGTCATACATTGCAATATGCAGAAGATAGCTACACAGTCGAGGGCAAGATTTTGACGTAATTCCAGCCAGACTTTGAGAACTCACGCGTTCAAAGCAAAAGGATGGCCCAGGCAGGACTTGAACCTGCAACTCGGTGGACTTTCGAGGGTGTTCCAGGTAGCGAGGTTGGAACCCTGCACCCGGCCTCTCCGATCCGAACATGAGTTTGCTAAACTACTGGGCCTCACATGTCTACCCTTTCCAAATGCCCAAGTTTAAACACATAAGCACTGTGCGGAACTCGTAGGCAGAGGAAGCTCGGTAACTGTTTGTAATAGAGCAATGGGGTAATTTCCCACTGGTCTACTGTATTCTAACCTCGGGAAAGGGATCAATCATTCCTCAGCTGGTTGGACAACGCAAGGCTCGCACTGAGCCCCGTTCCTTGACTCGTCGATGGTTCCATCCATGAAAGGCGAGAGTGGACCTTACACAGACATATTTACATATTTACCCCCTTCGTCAGTGTAAGAGCCGCCTGAAGACACAATTGCAGTCTCATGTCCCGTTCGCATGATCCATTGGGAAATTCGTCAATACTCCGTAATACGTCCACAGTGGCATGCACGTGAGCTTCGGGTAAATTGATCAGGATGGCCTCCACTCTTAAGATCAATTCACAATGAGTGCTTCAATCTGAAAATAGAAAAATCCGAGTAAAAATTCATTCCGAGTACGGAGCTAGCGCCAGTTAGTCGAAGAGCAAGGCCAAGAGCTGCAAATATTAGAACTCAGCTCTAGTCACCCGTATTGGGGGTCAAGGCTCTAGATCCCTCAGATGCCCGCCATATCATCAGATGTTCTCGGTAGTATATCACAGGGTCATCTACTTCTAGCAACATTCACTCCCTTTGATCTCCTGACGACAAACTATTGGTATATACAGCATTACAAGTTTCATAAGTATCCTCCTGGAAAGCAAAGAAGAAAACACGCAAGAGCATGAGAAGGTAATTCAGGTTCACGTCAAAATTTGGGTCGGAATGTCATTCGTTTTGTAATGGGACTTGTCAGAATAGAGTAAAAGGGGAGCCGAGATAGACTACCCCCTTCGTATCTAGAAAATATATACGACAGAAGGAATGTCAGATGTCTTTAGGAGCTGATAATATGACGCTGAACTTAGGATGAGCACATACTCACCAAAATAAATGTCTCCTCAGACTCTGGTAGGAGAATGTAAGTTTATCAATAAATTGATCACAAGAAAGGACGATGAAAAGGATTCTGTTGAGTTCATTCTGTTGATTCTGATGAGTAGTGTTTCCAGAGACCTCTGCCTATCAACAGTACCTGTGTTCTCATCAGCGAGCGGCCTTCCCAGAGCCACTTCACCTTTGAAACGTTCCGAGCATAATAATAAAAACTGAAATAAAAATATAAAAATAAATTATAATAATATGTAACATATTAGTTAGTTAAAAACTGTGCAGTAATGCTCGGTTGGCGAAAGAGATTGACATTTTAGAACCCGGTGTACTCGGAGAGGTGCCTTTTCAGTTTACTTGGATTAAATGTCAGATAGATTAAAGGCCCGGCGAATACCTCCATAGCTTGCCAAAAAACGTAAGACCAGAGAATGGATCAAGATTCCTGAGGAAGACTCTTTGAACTGAGGACCAGGAAGGAATCGAATACCGCAATTCAGCCCGACTATTTAGCTCATTTGGGATCTGAATCTATTTTTTACTTCCTGTGTATTATCTGCGCATACACTTCACCATCGTGAATGGTATGAGAAGAATTTGGTGCTGACGGATCATTGACCTCCAAATTTATTGAGAGTATAAATCTGCCTTAGTTTTCATTTGCTGACTTGACGTCATCCTCACCTTCCTCCGGCTTGTTTTGTCATACAGAGCAATTAGTTGATCTTGACTGCCTTCCTTAAATAAAACTGGAGCCTGTAATTAAAAAATCAACCTCGAGTTCAGAAGAAGTAACTCATTTGATTTCATTTCTTTCAGAGCTTGCTATCTCTGAAGCCATCGACAAAAGAATATCCAATATCACATCCAGCATATCGTTAGTAATGGCTTACGAGTCATGAGTCCTATCCTTCAAAACTTTCATTGATATTTAAAGATTTTCTGGCTTTTTAGGAATATCTATGAAGTCTTAGAATGCCATGAACCAAGAACGAAACGTCCAGGAACAGGAGCACGTCTTCGATTGAGAGGCGCTAAAGCCTAAATCTTACGCAAGGGTCCTCTATTTCAAAAAGGCAAAGATAAAATTTCTCTGCTGGGCATAGAAAATATCTCGGGATCCGCTCTACTGGGCCTTCACAGGCTTACGTGCATGTATCAAAGCTATTATTAAAGTTGTCTATGTATATTTAGCTGACAATCGACAACAAGTCATAGTTGACCGTGGATACTTCTATGCAACCGGATGCATATGTGTCTTCATCTCTAGTGGAGGATTAAAATCTTAAATATTTTTAACAATGTAATATTATAGGAGGCCTAATTTTAATTACCTTCTCACTTTCTCCGAAAATATTGAAATATCATAGAAAAAGAAGACATCGACATAATACGAGAGGTATGTACACCGACATACGACATAAACGAACGTAAACAGTAAAAGCCAAATACGCATTCATTATAAAGTCATCAGATTAACATAAAAATTTACCTTGGCAGTTATTGGAACTTAAATCTTAAACATCTTTTCATATACATGTCAAAATTACACATCTAAAAAATATTGCTTCTTGAAATTTATCCTAGATTCCATTTGAATTATAACCACCTCTCACACAAAGCATGACCTAAAGTTGAAGAAATTATATTTCATGTCCTTGGAAACAGGCTTATTAGAAGATGTAATTTCTGGTGAATATAGGTGTCGGTGACAGTGCAACTGATTAGTTTGTGAAATATAGCAGTCAGTTAGTGTACATATAAAATGTCAAGATAAATTATGGTAGTTATTAGGTTATTTTTTAACTGAAAATTATGTGATAAATCTATGATAAACTTTTCAAACCTCTTGCGTAGTTTCTAATAGCTTACATTCCATATTTCTGCCTTTTAATAGCGCGTGTCACTGTCTGTTTAATGATTTTAAGAATCGATAGATACTAACTCTTCTGTTTTACCAAGTGATGGCATATTATACTAGATTCATCATAAACGTGTCTGTTGTAAAAGCCAACTCGGTTAAGGTGTTCCATCATCTTCCTTTAATTTCATAATATTTGTCATATTATTCTAAGTCTATCGTAAGGAAATTCCCTTACGATACCATCGGGGCCTAGCCCTTGGTTCCCATCTTTGTTTGATATCGACATCAGTCCTTCCTCCCTGTGAGTCTATTTTCCCTGGCCCTGTTGAAGTTGGCTATCAAATGCAGTGCGAATGAATTTTTTCCTTTATATTTGTTCCTAGTTTCTTCTTCTTCTTTTTTTGGATACGCCTTAAGAATGATACAGCAAAATTTCAGTTTGTGGAAACTATTCGATGGCTTCCGTATTCAAATATCAATTTTTATATTGTCTGAAATGCCGACGTGGTTTTCCTGCGTGACCGAACACGTGCCATTACCAGATGTACGCAACGACCGACGGAAGGACGGGAGGAAGTCCGAGGAACATGGCCTTATCTACGGAGAGGCAGAATCATTACGCTCCCGCACGGGTTTGAATTCCGTGCTCTTCAGAACAACCCGCTGATTTGGATTTGGTTCGGTCCTTCGTATCGCTCGCGTGTCTGATCACCGAGCTCCGATTCGAATTGGGTTGCTGAGGAGGTCTGATGCTTCAGTCTGTTGCGTTAGAAAGCAGATGAGCTGAATTGAGAGAAAGCTTTTGAGCTGGGAGTTCATGATTTATTCGATTCTTTGAGCAGAGCCGGGATGGAGAAGATGGTGCTGGCTATCCCAGGTTCAGCTTCTGGGTCCAGCCTTTTTACCTCGTCTCGATCTATATTCGGTTGTCGATTTCAGAGAAATGTGAACCCATCGATCAGACTGTCTTCAAAACAGGTACACTCGGCGAAGAAAAGGCAGAACACCCTGACCATTCTAGCGCAGGCAGATTCCTCTGGTGGTTGCACTCGACTGCATTCCTCGGACGGTAATGGCTTGGAGTCAGCTGTAGGTAGTAGAACGCAATTAGTCCAGGAGCCGGAGGTCTTGAAAAAGGATAATGGCACTCCTGGAGCAGTCAGCGTTGGGCGAAGACAGGCATTGATTCTCTCGCATGTGGTTGCCGGTGCTGTGGCCCTGGATGCTGGAATTGTAGGAGGTAGCCATCCTGCCAGAGCACTCATGCAAACAGGAAATGAGAGGGAGGAGAGAAAAACTGCTGGTAGTGCCACAGAGAATTTGAAGAAACGAGTTTCCACCTTCACCTTGGACAATGGAATGAAGTGGGTTGTGTTAGAGAGACATAATGCACCTGTAGTTTCATGTCACACCTATGCAAATGTGGGTGCTGCAAATGAAACCGCAGGATCAACAGGTCTAGCACATCTGCTGGTAATTTATCTACTCAACATTGTTACGTATGGTGCACATTTTGGCCTTTTATTTGTATCAAATTACTTATTTCCACTGCTTGCTGGAGGTTCAGGGGTTTGGCAGGAATTCTTTCACAAAGAATTGTCACTTATGTTACATTCATGTTTAAGTTTGAGCTTTGGTTTCTCATGACACTTCAAGCTAGCAATATAAGCAGTGCTAAAATCTTGGCATTTGGCTTCTCATCAGGAGCATCTTGCTTTCAAGGGAACCAGGATTGTGGGAACTCGAGATCCCGAAAAAGAAGCTGCTTTACTTGACCAATTAGATGATGGTAAGAAGTGAGCAATTCTGAAACAATGGGAATGTTTGCGAAATGAATTGGAAATCTATATGTAATGGAATAAGTGCAGAGCAGAAATCCCTCCAGTGAAATTTTCCTAAAATCTGACGGTGTTCTCTTCTATCAAATAGTAAATTTTCTCCTCTACACTTGTCTCATGACACGTTGACTGTTCTTCATCTGTCAATCTTCTATAGTAATGGGAGCTGTGCTACATACCGTGACCAAAAAAGGTCATATGGGGTTGTTATAAATCTATCACCGGCACCAGGCCTCAGTGGCAAAATTCTATCTTCCCGCCCTCATTGATTTTGTATCTTTGTTATTTACAATTGAGTGTGAATCTTTCTGCATGTCTAATTATTTACTTACCGAATTGCAGTGTTCTATGCGATGGAAGAGGCAAAAGAAAAAGGAAGGGCGGGTGTCGTCCAGCAGCTTAATAAAAAGTTTGTATGCTCTCATCTTCCTTCCTTGTTACCGTTTTGTCCATTTTATTCTCAAGTCTATTTGGAAGATTCATCGCAGGCGTGGTGTAGCTAATATACACGCTTTTGAAGTTGGCTATAACTGAAAACTTGCATTCAGATGGATGACTTTGTAGATTGTCCAATAAAATACATAGAACCTCGCAAGTTGACTTTCTCCAACGCTGCAGACAGAACTGCAGGGCGCTGCAGCAAAACTTTCAGTGCCAAACGAGTACGGTTCTATCATTGAACGTCAAGGAGGCATCGGCTTGAATGCACAAACTTCCCTAGATTCGACAGGTTTGCAACTAAGTTATACTAAATGACTTGATAATCTTACACTTTGATATGAAAAGTTGATATGTTTAGGAGGATTAAATCAGGATGCTAAATACGAGTGAAATGTGTACTTCAGTAGATGTAGGATCATATCTATCACAATAGAGGGCGTCGTTTATTTCATCGACTTGCTTTCAATTAAACTTGTTCCCGAGATGAATCCTTGACGTTCGACCTTCTTGCGTCATTTATTCCAGTGATTATTTCGCAATGGGAAATTATGAATATTAGGCAAAGAAAGAACTCAGTTTATATGGATATTTTGTAAGGTTTCTATGTTGGTCGGTAATGTAGATGATCACCCGTTGTTAAACTTTCAAAGAAGTTGATGTGATTCCCATGGTTGGTCTACAGAGTACTTCGTTTCATTGCCAGCAAACAAACTGGAGTTGTGGATGGCCTTGGAAAGTGGGCGTTTTATTGCCCCTGTATTTCGTGAGGTTTATTCGGAGAAGGAGGTCAGGTTCTCCATTTCCCACAATCATAGAGTAGAATTGTATAGAAAACGTTGGGTTGTGAATTTATGTCGCAGTCTCGGCAGGACGAACGTTTTCTGATTCAAAAGAAGTGCAGGTGGTGAAAGAGGAGCGCAGACTTCGAGTTGATAATACACCCTTTGGCCGCTTCACGGAAACTTTCATTGGATCTGCTTTCCCGAACCAACCATACGGTCGTCCTGTCATTGGCTATCGTATCCTCTCAAGTCTGGTTTCCGAATGTAGCTACTGTATATTACTCCTGTTAGCGAATTTATGGAAAATCTACGTCAGTGAGATTCGATGGCAATCTTGAGATACGTTAAAAATCCTTCTAATGTATTAGCCCCAGTTTGTGCTAGTTGGAAAAATGTCAAAAGTTATTCTTTGTTTGTTTGCTTCTCTTCATAGCAACTATTCTCCTCGAAGCACCTGTATAAGCAGTAGCCGTAGTAATTGTTTTTGCAGCCTGCCCATGTAAATATTTCTTAATTGTTGAGCAGCTGATGACTTTGAACGGCTGGGAAGAAGAGAAGTTTCGAGATTTTTTCAAGAAAATTACAAACCCGAGACTTTGACATGTTCAGTTGTAAGTCTTTTCCTCCGATATAAACACTTACAATTCTTGCTGCACACAACCTGCATGGATTGTAATATCCAAAACACCAACTACAGAAGAAGCATCCTGAGATATAATGTTTACTGCCATTCTGATGCTTGTGTATACATATTTCCTGTATCTCATGAGCTCCAGCGTAATTTTAGTAGGTAGAGAGCACATATTTTTCTCTGGTACTGCACTAGTTTCTGAACAAGATAACAGCAGTCACCCCTTGAAACGCTGTGTATTGGCAGGTTGGAGATGTTGATCCAGTTCAGGTAGGCAGGCTTTACGCTTCCTGATGTGGAATTTCTTTTTACTTCTTGTCGATGCAGTTTAAGTAAGCACTAAGCTTGGTTTGAATGCATCTCCCGAGAGTTGTTCAAGAGTTGAAGTGTGATTCTGAAGGTGGAAAAATTTGCAACACGCTACTTTGGCTCATGGGGATCCAGTGGGAAGAGATTCACTCGTGTACCTCAACCTTTAAAAAGCTCGCGTGATAACTGCGGGTGGGATAGTATTGTCCGAGCCGATGGGGACCGAACGTTGCGAATGAATCTGCCTGCTCAGCCCTTATATATGGAAGGTGTGCATTATTTATGTCCACGGGAGAGACGTACTTCCTTCTTTGGTTCTTTTAACATGCTGAGTTCTTTTCCACTTGACGGGGCAAATGCTTAGAACATGCCTTACAGAAGTTGAAACCACGTTATATTTTTCAGGTTATTATCGACCGTCCGCCTCCTCTTCAGATGACCCAGCTTTGACAGTTGTCAATGAATTACTCTCAGGGGGTCGATTATCCCGTTTATACAAGGTATTATGAATCTTGTACTTCGGAATCATGCATCGTGTCGAGTTTACGTAATGGCTGCTGGAAGGCTCTGGTGCTCTTCTTTCTGACCGCTTCATGCAGAGCTTTGCGAAACCAGGCAATCTCTTCATACATTCATATCTGACACCTTCTTCGGTTACGTATACAGAGAGTGGTCATTCCCGGGAAAGCGCTGTCAGCACAGTCGGTGGAGAGCTTCCCTGGGGACAAAAAACCTAATCTTCTGCTTGTATACGGATCCCCTACCCCAGGTAAATGCCTGTCAAGCTTTTTCTCCTTGTTGTGAGAGTTGGCCTCACACTTGCAAAACTCGTCCAGGACCTGCAGCTGACTGCCGTGAGAGTCACAATTGTGCAGGGACCAGCACTGACTATCTAGCAAATATCTTGCATCATGAACTAGAGGATCTTGCAAGCAAAGACGTTCTGGAAGAGGAATTAGTTCCCACAAGAAAGGCTACTCGCGCAGGCTTGCTGGTAGTATTTCTTACCTTGAGTCTGCGTACTTTGCAGCGTTCACACATTCTCCTTGCTCGTGAGAAGATAATAATTGAGTGAGCAAAGCAGATACACAGTATTTCTTTCGCTAATCACTCTTCAGTCAGTTGGGTACAAGGCCGTTGTACTGTTGTGAAGAAACAAAAGCTTGGCTGTATACATATGTATGTTTATCTTTCGGACCAGAGAAATGTAGTCAGTTCTTTGAGACAGTGATATCAGTATGCACAGAATGGTCTAGAAAAAGTGAATGGAACTGTATTCTCAGAAATTGACAAACTGGACTGATTACCAGGAAGCGTTTGGGAGCAATCGTTCGATGGCAAAGCTGCTTTGCTTGTACGAAGCAACTACAAACAATTGGCTTAATTTGTTCGAGGAGAACGAGCTAATTCAGACAGTGTCACCAGCGGACGTACAACGTACAGCAGCACTTTTATTCAAACCTTCAAACCGGTTCTCAGGCCATGCGATGCCATTTGGTCCAGATATGTCAGTGTAGAACATGTAGTAATCAGGCAGTGAATGAAGTGTAAAATTCGGTCTATGCCTTGTATCAACAGATTTTGTACATGACATCGCATGACCTACAGTAGATGTGTTTGACCGAGAGTTATCAAAGGTGATTGATCAATCACCGGGCCAATCACCGTTGTTAGCCGGTAATACTTGATGTTGCTAGACATGACTTTTCAAGTGTTTCAAAACACGTGAACATGATTATCAACCCAATATACAGCCGTCGGGCACATACACTCCCGTCAAGTTTTGTGTTTGAGCATCGACTGTGCCGGATCCTCTTGAAGCATATGTGGCGTGATTGTAATGTTATGATCGATATATGACAAGTTTCACTTACAGGCTCTTAGACGTAGTTTCATATTTTTCCAATTCAGAAGAAGGGAAAAGTATCGTGGAATAGATTTGGTTTTGTGCAAACCTATTCCACGATATTTCTTGGAGCAGTTGGGAAGTAAGGCATGCACATCTTGACACTCATTTACATGAAAGTAGTTTAGGAAACATGAAAATTTGATTCTTGACAGATGAATGTGTACTGTGGGGTACACTATCAGAATGCGCAAAACTGTTGTTTCTCACATTTCTCACTTTGCTTTAATAGGATCCGGAATGAATGCTAGGCATATGTATTACCAGCATATACTTTAATGAGATCATGTGTCTACCTTAAAGATTCTGGCCCATGACTAGATTGGACCAGTGCATTCGGCGCCCAGGGTAGTGGTACCACTCTTCATAGCCCTTTTTGTGAAGTTCTTGAGAGGTTGGATCATGGTGCTACGAACCACCGATGGAAGGCAACTGCCCGTACGGGGCGATTGAAGGACCAAGATTGAGGTTTCGTTTGGACTCAATTCCCAGAAAGAGCAATCGTGTGCACTGCGCACTCTTTGCATGACTTTGAAAGTTTCCACGATGGATTTCATATGAGCAACATGAAGGATCAGCAACGGCCTCCACAACCTCAAATTGACATGGCCAAAATGCTGAAATAAATATGGCTCTCACATTACAATCTTCGATATTCTATACTACTCATATCCACCAACATGATTATGTATCACTCAATTTTTTCATGGTTTTATTGAATCTTTTACGTTAGGAAGCTCAGTAATATTAGCAGAGGAAAGTCTATTATCTTGGAAGAACTTCATTTTTCTATTTTAGTAGCTTGGTTTAGGCACGACAGAATTCAATAGAAGGATGGGAATACCGCAATTTTAGAATGATGAAACCAAGGGGTAGATGGGCCGGCCTATATAAAAGTCATAACTATCCAAACGATTTAGATCAAAATGTCTACTTGTTATCAGAGTGCACGTAGAATCATGATTTGGCTCGATTGCTCTTTATGTACCAAATGGTACACGCTGACACTCTCTTTGATCTACTTACGAAAAGAGCGCATCAAGAATCATCACACAAAATGACTGCACATCATCTAACAGGATGTACACGCAATTCCTCTCCACGAACGTATACAAGTTGAAAACAGTAGATCCATACACTCCAACCTTGAACCACCCAAGAGTTCAACTCTTCTTGATACCTCTATATCTAGATACCATGCTTAGCCATGTTTGTAAATACATGGTTAGTCATCCATCATGAAAGAGTCTCTCATGGGGGGATGTGCAGCGAGGGTTTGGGGTCCAGTCTTAAAAAGTAGAAGCATTCTGTGACCAGATTTGTTCAATGCATACCAAAGCTCTCTCCATTCTTGTCACATTTTTCTCATCATCAATAAATATTCTCATCTATGGGAAAGTGTAAACCTAGGACAAATGGAACCAAGTACAACAGCTAAAAGGATGGAAAACCCCAGTGCAGTACCTAACCTAGAACCACAGTCTGATGTGAGTACAGTAACGAAGATCCGATAAAACTGTGACAATGTTTTTGCAGCAGAAATCGGGCAAGTACTGGACTATGCCCATGTGCTAAGGTAGAGCTCTGAATCTCCACATCTGCACTGTGAACTTTTCACATATCAAATTTCCCGGTTGAACTGATTCTGAAGAAGCTTGTCCAGAAGCAGTTCTGTCACGGGCCAATCGGTGCACCATTTAGCTCACGTGTGCTCTGATTGTCAGAAAGGTACTCAGCAAAGGGCCAAAAAAGCCCGAGCTACATGCTCCAGAGGCACATCCGTAAGACACCAGCACCGCTTTTAATCTTCCAGCAGCTTATTTGTGCCCAATTCTGTTTGGCTTCGAGGGTTCTGGGTTTCTGCGCACTGCGAATTTGGAGTCGTGCTTGAATTCAATGTCGTGATTGGCTTCTTTCAGGTGGATCAGCCGAGGCACAGAGAGATGACGCTGGAGACTGAGAAGAAATCGTCTCGCCCTGTGAAAGCTGTTTTGAAGGACGCGCGGTCTGTTCTGTCCTCTGTCGCGGACAGTCCTCAGAATTGGGCGCAGGGTGTTGACGCACCTGCTGCTGATACGGGTCCGATCGCTCGAAGTGGGAATTTTGTTCTGCATTGTGCGGAACTTGTGAGAGAATTTCACCGGCTCCTGGTGACTGGGACGAATTTCGAGTTCAAAGAGTGGACTGTGGTCAAGGCTGTAACAGAATTGGTCGTGCGATGGGGCATTTACCCGTATCTGAGTCCAGGGGTGGGAATTCCCCTCCAGAAACGATTTGGGAACAAAGCAGCCTCCGCAGCAGCCAACGCCGTTTCTGATTACGTTCGTGCTTCTCAACCAGTGGATGCTAGCTTTGAAGGGCAACTGGCTGGAGAAAACTCGAATGCACATCCTTTGATATTCTCAGCTGATCTGCTTTCTTTCATAGTGCTGGAGAAGATCTTCATCGTGCCCAGTGATAGTTCTCTGAAAGGAAATGCAGGGACGGGTGGGGATGAATCGAATGTTTGCAAAACGGTTGCTGGCACAGACGAAGATGAAGAGAAATATGAGGGAAAGTACACCCCAGCGGTGGATTCGTCACCTGGCGCGTTGAGACAGCTTATCTTAACCCATCACCTGATTGATATTTTGGCAGCTCTCTTGCAAATTGCTCATGATGAGCATCTTGGCCCGAAGTCTTGGAAAGAGGAGGCTGTAGAAAGAATCAAGGCCATTTTGGACAGACTGCCTGTTGACTACGTTGTGGAAGCGCTCTTCGGTTTGCTCGGGCAAAATAGTAGTGCAACCCCACCTCCATGGCTAAAGCCCGAGGTGGGGAAGCTTCTTTCTCAGGTCGTTATGAGGACCGGAGGCCTTTCAACTGTGATGGAGAGGCTTGTGGGCGGAGCAGAAAGTGTGAGTTTTTAGCCTTCAAGTTACGTCATTCCCACCCGCTCAATTATTCTCATCCAGCAGGAGCTTTGGCCGTGGTCGAAATTTTTAGTCTGTGGCTGTCTTTCAGTGACAGGAATGTTTTGTAATGTTTGAGGTGGTGGCATTTCAGGGAAGTGTGCAAGTTTATGACAGAGTGGCAGCTCACTTGGCCAAGGTACCGAGGCATGTGTCGACAGCGGATGCGTATTACAAGGCTGTTTGCACAGAGTTGCGGATGTTGTTGTTCCTTCCCGACATTTCTTACATTGACAAGAACACCACAAAGGCGCACAAGAATATGCATCATACTTCAGTTGCTCTAGCCTGTATCTTGGCACATCAAGAGCCATTCTTGACAGAAAAATATTTACTTGGACCTGTTGTCGAGCCTCTTTTGGGTTGGAGTGAGTTGGAAAGTCGGACCCAATCGATTGTCGTGGAGGGTGAGAGAAAAGTAGAGAGAGGAGGTTCATCTTCGCGAGCAGAGCATGATGTGCTGGATGGTCTGCATGTCTTGAAACTCTTGCTCACGGCTGGCCACGATAAATCTTCCAGACTGCGCCAGCAGCTTGTGAAACTTACCTTACCTTTGGTGCCAAAATTGATATTGTTGAAGTACCTCATCTGGCCGTCGTATGGCAAACATGTCGAGCGTAAATTCAAAGCCCGTAACTCAGTAGTAGCTCATTCAAAAACCACTAGAGCTGCTGAGAATATGGAAACTTTCCCTCCGAAGAGAGATCAAAAAGCTGGTCAGCGTAAGGACTTCCAAGTGGGATTCTTGAATGGGATAAGGCTGTACGATCTTGAAGATGATGAAGAGAGGACAGAGGGAACTGTTGGACATTTGATGGGCTGTATATCAGACATTGTGGACTGTCACCTTTCACAAGCCGCTGTGCATGTTGTACCCATCGTCTTCACATTTCTGTTTGACCTCAGGACTACTTCTATAAGCTGGCCTGCTTCCGAAGGAGAGATTGCAGGTGCTTTAGAAGCTGGCAAACGCCAGGTGGATTCTTCAGCCATGTGAGTTTCACCACTTTGTTTATCTTCGTCTTCATGCTGGTCTCTCTTATAAGTTTCAGGTTTCCGGTCTTTGCATATGTAGATTATCTCAATGCACGGTGCCTTCTCTTATCTTTTGTCCTTGTTTTTCGATATTAATGGATGTACGCGTTATTGCAGTTTTCTCTCGAAGCTACTGCTGGCGGGAGAATATTGGGAGCTCACGGTATCTCTCTTGGTTGATTTGTTGAGGAGAGCTTTATCGCTGAGAAAAGCTGCGCAGATAAGGTCTACAGCGTCCAGTCCAGACCAATCGATGGAGCCAAATGTAGATGCTGAGGCTGTCTTACGTATAGTGCAGACTCTTGAGGTCCTGTACGTGGAAGTTGGCATCGAAGCGGTAGAGAGAGATGCCACGGGAGCTTTGCCACTGCTCAAGGTACTGGAATGAACCTGCCTTGTGATGTCATGAAGTAACTACTTGTGCTCTGTAGCCTTATTTGACATCCATGTGGCCTGCAGATTCTCCTTGACGATGAGGAGCTTCTGAACGACAGGGAGATGCTGGAGCTGGTGCTGCAGTTAGTACATTCTGCATTCTCTCAACTTCATCAAGACCACAAGCGCGTTGAGGATGATGCAAATGTTCCAGTACCGAAAAGTGCAGAGCAGGTTGGATTATTGAAGAGTATTGGAATATCACTTCAAAAGATTACTGTTTCCTCAAAAGTTTCAAAAGAATCTCAAGATTTCGCGGCATCTCTGAGATCTGCTCTGGCTCTACATCTTACAAGCGAACACTTGGAACAGTTGAGATAGAAGTTCCAAGCAAATGCCGATGCCAATTAGGGAGTAGAAATGTCCAGGTGTTTCGCAGTATACAGATGTTTCAAAACATCTTTTACACGTCTCGGGAACTGCAATCAGGGCCGGTACACTGGGAGTAGGAAGGTTTTGAAGGTGGCAAGCATTGCATTTCATTTTGTCTCCTTGACCTAGTAACTGTACAGTTCATCAGGTATTGGTTGGCTGCAGTAGTTTTCAAGGCTGTGGTCTCCATTTGTAGAAAATGTTAGCTTAACAAATAATTGAACATGTTGAGCAGAGGATTTATGTAGTCACAAGAAGAGTCCGGATGAGCATAGCAAAGTCTGACAAGGTTTTTACAGAAAATTCCAATGAAGTACTTGTAGACTATTAAGAATAAATTCGAGCTCGCTGGATCAAGTCCCTCCTTTTTCATGTGCAACTTCAAATGTTCGTGTCTTTCCCATTTTAACGGGGACCGCGCTTGTTTTCTGAATAAACTATTTACACAGCCAATGCACGTGATATGCCTTTATTTTGACTCTGAATCACGACTATCTACATAATAATCCTTCACGCCTAACAGTTTTGCCGCAAGAGCACTATACTTACATCTTCAAACAAAACTTGGACTATTTCCCTACACACTGTCTATGTAGAAACTTAGAGCTGTCTGGTTTGCGTATCTATTATGCCCACGGTTTGACAGTCCTAAGTGCTCTACTCAACTGACAAGGATAATCGTTTGCAATAGCACAGCCTGTAGCCCTTCAGGGTCTGGTCGTATGAAAATTTGGAATGCTTGCCACCATTTCGAAAACACTAAGCCAACGACATTTCAACCATCAGAAAAAATGCACCGCTCGTGTCGTCTGCCTTAAGTTCCACCTGGTACTCTGAATCTTTAAGGCCTCTTATCTGTACAGAATATTGCAGCAAACAGAACTCAGAACCTCATCACACTCCATAGCGTTCACAAGCTTTGCTGATGGACCATAAAGCACACGTATGCATATTAGCAAAGGTCCTCCACAAATTATTCACGCTTAAATTCCTATTAACGCTTGGCCTCTGAACCGTGTCTGAACTAAGAGAGTGTATAGCCGAAACGAAAGAGACTGACGTACCTCCATGGCATCTCGAATCGACATATTTGTTCCATTGACAGAAAGACCGCCCTCGATACAGACCAAGTACACTTGCCTCTTCTTTTGCAGTGTGAACGTTTGTGAAAAGCCCGGGTCACACTCAGACACATACATGTTCACATCTTGGTGAATTGGAATAACACCAGTATGCTGATCCTCACTGCATTCCAGCTTGTTAATATCTGTGACCAGATGCTGCAGCTGATTATGTCGGTCCTCCTTCCTGCATTCCCAATCAGATCCAGTCCCTGAGCATACGTCAAGGAGACAGCTCCCAACAAGTTGCAGGCATTCGATTGACGCAAGTACTTGACCACATGTAAATATCTTTGCAATGATAGAGCTGAAAGAGTAAGTAAGAAAGGGGAGGGAGGGATGAGCAATGGGTTGAGTCAATCAGCTTGAGGAGAGAAACCTTCACCACGCGAGTTAGTCAAGTGTGTACGAAGGCTTCCACAACCTTGCACAGAAGAGGTGACTTACTTCCACACACGAGAACCATAATTAGGTGTAAGTCCTTTGGCATTGGGTTTGATCCATAATTGCAAGAACCGCAGCCTGAACAAGTCAGCCACAAAGAACCATCAGCATCAGTCTTGCACATGAAATTTAGCAGATCTCGATGCGAAAGGTGGAAGGTTCGTTCAGGTATCCAACTCATACATACAGTTCATTGTCGTTGTTCATTTCGGAATGAGTGACACCTCTGCCTGCGCTCATGTATTGCACTGAGCCACGTCCCAATGTCTCTGCAGTTCCCATACTGTATCCACCGAGAGCAAGTCACGATACAATCAGGTCTCGAAATTTGGATACATTTCTCTTTCCAGCAACGCAATTTGCATCACGGCATTGGTTGCCAACAGAAATCCAAAATTTTAAATTCTTCGAATTCAGCTTGAAACACTGGCTCCGATGTACAAGGTGCTTCGTTATAGAGGGTGTCATGAGTGCCGACAAAAAGGCCCCAGAGCTTTGATTTCATTGCAGCGTACCTGTCCTTGTGGGTAAGTTTTCCATCCACGACGTAGGTGAAGATCTCCATGTCTCTGTGGGGGTGAGTTCCAAACCCCGAGTGAGGCTGTTCAGCAAAGTACACGAATTCAGTCGAAAGGACAGATCAACTCATGCAGCTGAAATCCTCGTGACGCAAATTACGCATTTATACTAGAACACAAATAACCTTCGATCCTTAATTACTCATCATTCAGTCATTCAGAAAAATACCTTCACAAGGTCATCGTTGAGCACCCGCAACACACCGAATTCCTGATTCGCAGGATTGTAATATTCCGCAAAACTGAGGAGCGACAACGTGTGAGTGAATTGAGAGGTCACGACGCAATGAATTCGACTTAAAAAAGCAGATTTTGAACTCGACTTTACTGGCACCATGGAAAAAAAATTCTCACCGCATTCACATGTAATCAACTACCAGCGCAGGACCAATTCTCGAAGAAACCCAATACCTGAAATGGAATCGGCTCTCCAGCCACCAGGTCGGCGTGGAGATTTTCAGATTCTTCGCGGGTATAAGCTTCAAACTCCTGTTGAGAGAATTCCCACGCAATTGCGCATTAGATTGTAAATCTAGCAAGAATTTCGATCGGAACACCACAAATCAAAAGAGGAAGAGGTGGAAACGCACATGCTGGAGGACGCTGAGGCGGCGGGAAGAGAGACAGAGCGAAATCCGAGAGAGGTAAGCTGATCAGAAGACGCAGCAGCAGGAGGACGGAGCAGAGATCCAGTCAAGTGAGTCACCGAGGGCGAAAATCGAATGCACTGTCGAAGCATGAAATATCGATTTATCTGACGGAGATGGAGATGGATTCGGGTGTTCCAGAGGCTGTAGTGGAAACGATATGCAGCCTGAATGAATGAAGGCTCTGTTTCTGCAGCAGCCAGATGTGGAGACGTCAGCTGCAGCGGAAGGTTCCCACGCCGTCAGCACGCCGTCAGCAAACACCTGCTCCTTCCGAGTGCCGAGAACTCCCACTGGAAGCCCCCGAGGCCCGCGGCCCGAGCCCCAATCTGGATTCCAGTTGACTTGCTCAAGTCAATGGTAGGACTTGGGTAATCATAGGAGGGGACCTTATGACCACTTCGGTGGATTCTCTTGGAGGCTGCCCGGGCGCAGACTTTTTCGATTATCCGGTTACAGTTTTCTTCTGTCCGGATTACTTGAATCGTTGCTCTCAAGTCCCCGTCCTGCCGGAATCAGAGCGATCGTTTCGAGGTCCAGTGAACACCAAGTTTCCGGTTTTTTACTGATTGCGATTTAAATCCGGCGTTCCGGCGCGTTTCGTGTATTCTTGGGTAGTGTCAAAATCTGCTATGAGACGTTACGAAGGATGTCAGGTCTTGCCGGGCCTGTCTCCAGAATGGGACTTTCTTCTTCCTCTGCCTTTCGTTTGTTGCAGAAAAACTCATGTTCACTTTTAGATCTTAAATACGTGCCAGACGGGAGAAAAAGTTGTGATGACGTTTCTAGAACTAGCCAAAGTTTTGCCTTGTTAAAATGTATTTGGAACAAGTCAAAACCCTATGGTACGGAATGTTCATTTGGAAAATTTTCTACTAACCTATCACTTCGACAAATTTAAATGTTTCGAAGTGAATAAATAGTTACAATTAATTCCTTTGATTCATAATATACGTTTTGCAAACTTTTAACTCTTTCACGCACATTCCAATTTTGCATTGCCTGTATATATGAATCCGTCACTTTTTGGAATGTAATATAGTATAGCATCTGAAAAATGAAACTTTTATTTCATGTTATCATGCAATTTTAGTATCAAAACTCTACATAGTACATTTATAACTCTAAGATTGTTTACTTATGTGATCTGCTTGCTCTATCAAAAATACATAAATCTTGATCACATCACATTTTTTATCCTCCTTCTTCCTGCAAGAATTTACCTATTTATTTATATGATGAGCAACAGCTCATCACAAAATGTCAATATTTATTTTCTTTGAAAACGCACAATAATCTAATAATGTAAGTTTTGAAAGTACAAAAATTTATTTGCACATATAAAGTTAAAATTCTCAATAATGTCATCTCTTATAGTGACTGTAACCATCTTGAGTTAATTAAAATTAAAATAAAGGTTATTCAAAATGTTTATATAGTTACTTTAGCGTATATTAATCATAGTTGTCACGTCAATGCTTGTTAATGTTATCTATAATTTTATCTATCCACTAAAAATGAAATGGATAGTAAATATTAGATTTTATCTTCTTGTATTTGTTGGTAAAAATAATATAACGAAAAGTAGTTATATTGTTGATATCTCTCATCTTCACAGTTTTTGTTTACATTTTCAAGTAAACTTCTTTCTAAATCCTAGTGTTATAATGACATACTCTCATTAATGGCGTAAAATTCCAAAATCATTAGTTTATAACTTGTAAATTTGCTTAATGCTAATTAAAACTATTGGCAATAGTGACATGTAACTACCCAACAGTAATATTTTCAAGTGTAATTTCAGAGATAAATTGTCTATCATGATCATAATACATAGTTGTGAGAAAGAAGAATCTGGTCTAAATTTATTTAAAATTCTATCTCAACAATTCATTCTTTATGAGCTTCAATAAAATACTTAGCTACATACATTATCATCAATTATTTCACTCAGATTTTTTTATATAATTGCATTTGAATTTGGATTATATGTTAATTTGAATTCAAATGCAATTATAGCGCCTACGTTAATTATCGTGAACATTTCAGAATTGCAAATGAAGTCAATCTTGAAATTAAACAACACATGTATAGAATGTCCTACGGATGTAACGTTGTATTAAAAATCCATACAATTTCTTTTTACAAGTGATATCTTCCATCAATGACATCCAATCCTAACAATTTATGATACTATTGGGAGGTTATACTCAAGGTTGCATATTTTTATCTTGTGTCACTCACAAGATAAAAGTATGTAACCTTGAGTATGAAAACTCCAGCACCAATGTGTGTCACTATGAGAGGTTTAACTCTGCATATGATTGATATCTGCAAACAAGTTTGGAATTCCATCATGTAATAAATTTATGATAGGGTATGATTTTTAGAATTCTATCGTATGATAGTAATTTACAATCATGTCAAAGTTGCTTGCGGGGTAAATGTTAGATAAACCATGACCATAAATAGAAGTGAACTATCATTATGTGTACGAAAACCTTTGTCAATCTTCTCTTCATCATGTTAACAATTGTGAAGAGAGTTAATCAAATCTAATTATCTTGTCTTCACAAGAGAGTTGATACAATAATCTATCCACATTCAAGAAAACAAAAACTTGTGCAAAGTTTCGTCAACTTAATAAGTCAACCTCATTATTGGTGCATCACATCGACAGAGCACCAAAGCTAAAACCTAATATTTTATTTCACTCACTTGGATAAATGCTAATCTTCTTCCAACATATATCAACAATATCGCCTAATTGTTAATTATAGTAACAATTAAGCCAAATATTACCCGTTCCTTTCACTACAGTTTGAGGAATTTCTATATGGAGTAATTTACAAAGATACTTTTTGAGGTATAATCCTACATCCAAGACAACTTTGAGTCTATGGATGTTATCTAGTTATCTTTGAGTCATGGATGGATATCTCTCCTTGGTTATGGTTGTGATCTAATTCATTATTTTGCGTGAACGAAAACAGTCATATTTCGATGAGTAAGAACAGTCCAGATTTGTGTGATATGAAGAAAGTTCATGACTGAAGTAACAGAATCAAATCAAAACCCATTCGAGAAAGTTCACGATGAAATTCAAGGTGTTTAGGAATATTGACAGATGCAGATGTAGTGTATCGATCGATGTTTACAAAAAGGGCAAACTGTGTAGATCATCAGTTATCTTTTATGGGGATACTGCACAAGTGATAGTAATCACCGGTAACTTTACCAATTACGCCGTCAACACAAAATTGTTAGATTTCTGTTGACTAAGGCACTGAACGGGGGATAGGCATCGTTCACAACTGTACTTGTTGCTTGTGAAAGTGAGACTTGGAGTAGAAATTGAAAATACATTTATCTACGTACATGCGGTGCTGTACATATTGAGCAAGCTCAGTGGGCAGTACCCGTTTGCAGTAAATATGGTCTACGTTTACCGAGCCACCAGCCTTTAGATTGCGTGATCCTCGAATTGGAATAAGGAACATTGCAGCCAGAAGATACATTAGTACACCCTACCGGATGGTTTAACGGCGTGCTTATGAACATCTGCACTACCATGCGTCCAATATGCTTTGCGATAGTGGAAAATGGAGCATTTTCGACGTAGCATCTCTCAACCGGTCTGCGTGGACTAAGTGTGCATACAGACCAATCACTCATTAGTGGCCGCATCATGACCAATCACCTTCCCATACAAAATCCTCTAGATATTAAATGCGAAGCCAAACACGACTTCTATCCAGCAGATCTTCACAGCTTTGCAAGATGGCGCACTTCGTATTTTTCAAACGCTACCGTGTGATGCACGAAAGAGAGATAAAAGGTCTTCACTTTAGTAAGATGGATCATCCGAATCGTGAGAGAGAAGGTGAAAGAGATAGTACTATAATAATAAAGTTCTTCTTCTTGCATACAAGTGTCAATAAGAATGAATCACTATATTAGCAGAATGAACCGCCTGGCCTAGTGATACAATTGAATAAAACTAATACATCAGCCTAAACTGACCTGGTAAAAATTGATCAATCCAGGATGACTTCTGAACTGTACAAAGGTTTTAAATTACAAGCACAACAGATATAAACGGGATCGTCCAGCAGCTCTGAAGCCTCTGTTATGGCACTCCAAAGTAAGCTGTCGAGCAAATCAGGTTGCTGGAGGCGGACTCAAGTTCGATATTCGTCCTTCGTAAACATCCAAGTCGGCACATTCTCAACTTAACGCAGCCAGATGAGAATGAGGATGCCCAGCCATTGTCGCGTTTTGAAAGGTTGTGGCTGAGTGACCAGTCACATTCTCAGATTACTAAAATACAGCACCTCCTTCCACACTACCTTTCCAGCTTACAGAACTACCACAACCATTCCCGAGAAAAAAACCTCACAAGACCAAGACCACAACGACTAAGGCCGACAAGAGTCACGTCTCTTCTAGAGCAATTGGCAGGTTATGACAGCTGTTTTAGTCCCAAGTCATTATTGATGTCTACGATAACAGTACTTGCAGAATCAAATCAGTTGCTTTGCGGAAAGAACTGATGCAGCGGTCAAACTCATGTAAAAATCACAGACTTCTAAGTTGAACAGCAAGCTTTCTTCTGCAGACCGATGTCTTGTTCTTGTCCGGACACAACTAGGTTTGTGCCTATCAGGGGTGCGCTCCCATTGGATTGAGACTTCTCATCAGCAATCAGAGCCTTTTTGCTGACTATCCTGTAGATTTCGGAAAGCACGGTAAAGAAAGCTGCTTCCACATTTGTAGAATCGAAAGCAGAAGTTTCAAGGAAAAAAAGTCCTTCCCTTTCAGCATACTCCTTCGCATCCTCAATTGGGACTTGTCTGAGGTTCCCGAGGTCAGACTTGTTTCCAATCAACATGATGACTATATTGGTATCTGTATGTGCCTTCAACTCTTCGAGCCAGCGGTGAACATGATCAAATGATTGTCGTTTCGTGATATCGTACACCAACATGGCTCCCACAGCTCCTCGATAGTAAGCACTTGTGACTGCTCTATACCTGCAATCAAATTTCACAAGGTCAATACGACTCGTAAGCTACAAACCCATCCTCTTCTGCACCAGTCAACTTAGTCATTAAACTAAACACTGCTGTCAAGCAACAAGGCCGCTACTTTTACAGTTGCAGCACTCAGGCTATATATGGAAATTGTAGCCTGAAAATTTGCTTGCCATTAGCACCACTACCTCCAAAAATCCTGTAAGTCTTCTGGAGTTAGACAACTAAGAACAACACTTTCTAGCCGACCATTTGAAACACAATGTGAGTCAAAACTTAGTGAGTGTGCTGGCGAAACAATACATCCTTCTTTTCCCCAGATTGAGAAACTGCTATACCCTTCTTCAACTGCCCCAATAACAAAACTCATGTCTCTCAGTTTTTTTCCCCTCGGAAATGTATCCGGTAACTTCGGAGCGATAGGACTAATATCCCTCTCATGAGCGTGTCACATCCACAACACTTCAGGTTGACGACTGAATATGAAACTGAAATTGGGGCACATGAACCAGGGATCGATTTAATACGCACAGCTGTAGATGGCGCGAAAAATGGACCCACAAAAATGTCTCCCACGCCTAACCTTTTCTTGAGCTTGTTCAGATGTGTAAAGCAAAAAGCCTAGAACAAGTGAGTTTCAAGCTCAACAATAAACTAGAATGAAAGCTCACCTACAATCAGTGACTAATCGAAACTTTTTACATTATTTTCTGGCGTAGAAAGCGAAGGTAGAGTCAATGAAAAACTATGGTAGGACAGGCTAGGAAACCCCAACTCGAACTTCCAGCAATCAAAGCATGTTATAAGCCAGATGTACTACTCGTAAATTACCTCTCTTGACCGGCTGTATCCCAGATTTGAGCTTTGATGGTCTTTTGTTGCACAACGATGGTTCGAGTTTGAAACTCCACACCTATGGTGGCCTTCGACTCAAGACTGAACTCGTTCCGAGAAAACCGTGCAAGCAGCTGAGATTTCCCTACTGCAGAATCACCAATCAAAACCACCTTGAATAGGAAATCTATTTTGCGGTCACGCTCTCCATATCCGTTTGACATCATCTTTCAATACGTACGCCCCAGTTAGGGCTAAACTGGAAGAATTTGTCCCCGCTCAGCTGGCTAACTTTGTGATATCCAACTATGAAGTGAACCCCAGGCGGTGTAGAACGTTTTCGATATTAACCATTGCTACTCCCGAAGATCTTCTGCGGCCCGTCTAAGACCGTCTGCGGAATCCTTTACAAATTACAAGATCGCCTGCAAAAGAAAAAAATCCTGGTCAGAAACTAATCATCCGCTCCTCGAACAACGAAAACCTCAGGTTCATGTATCTGATCACATCTAAGCTCAACATGAGAGTTGCATCCATAAGAAGTTAATTCTATAAAGACGATGACTGCTTCTTGTCCAATTCCGAACGAACTCAGTCTTTGCTAAGTTTCTGATCTATACTTTGAGCTCCTCACTTCACCCCGGTCCGACCAAGAAACAATTATAATCAAATTACAGATAAGGATTTCAACGGTGAAGGACTATTACACTATGCTTGTCAGTGGCCTTGTCCTTCCTGTCGTGCCTATGGACAGGAAAGTTCATAGGCACGACAGGAAGAACAAGGTCACTGACAACCTTAGTTTAATAGTCCTGACTCGAATCGTGTGGCAACAGAATAGCTGTAGTATATGGCGCCCCTAAATAGGCAAATCAAGACACAGAAGTCAAAGTCCGCTAGGTAAGAATTCCAAGAATATCAGATCTCCACAATGATAAGGGGACGATGAGCAGGGTGAAAGGTTCCGCAACACGACATCCACAATCACTCGAGCATGAGAATTCTTGAACCAGGATCAAGGCTGAAAAAGAAGGACAGATCTGATACCTGAAAACATAGCACGCAGCTATAGAACAGATGATGAGGAAAACACAGAATAATAGTTGCTCCTGCTGTCAGAGGGTTCTTCAAGATTGGAAAATGGAGCAGCGTAGAGCAGACTGAGGGACCAAATCGGGGAAATCAGGCAACTCTATGAAGAAGAACACCCACACTTCTAACCAATATTCGACCGATCAAACTTTCACCAGCCTACTTTTTCCGGCTGGTTGTCGCTCGCAGGAACGGTCGGTCCGTAGGGACAAGCAGAGGAAAGAGGAGAAAAAAACGCAAGAATTCTACTGAACTCTGAATGCGGAGCTAATTCCTTCACGCCTAATGTCCTCCTACAGCAACAACCATACAAAGTGGTGTCAAGCTCTTGATCCCCATCATCGGACAGATCTGAATCCTCTTCCTCCTCCTCCTCCCCGCCCCTTCTTCATCTCCTTCTCCTAACTTCGCCTTACCTGCACTTTACAGATACAAGCGGAATCCTGTCCTGCAATTTTCAGTCCGTCAAGAACAGGCCGGACCAGCTGGATTGATCTGAATTGTCGCACGATGCTCCGATTGCGGAAAGCGATGGATACATAATCTGGCCGAGCAGTGCGTGCAAGCCTTCCCAGGTCGTCACGTCTGCGTTGCTGCTGCTGCTGCTGCAGGCGAAGTCTTGCGCCTCGACACCCTTCCTCGCCTGGCTTGCACATGGACGCTGCTCATTATCGCCAGCCCCTCCTACTCCGTGCGAAGAGGAGCTCGCCTCCCTCTTGGCTCACTGCGTGCATACTCGGTTGCTCGCCGTCCGCTCGCAAGACCCCGCACCTGGACGTCGTCCCCACCGCGGCACCGCCGCCCTCTACTGTGCTGTGCAGTCGAGCTGCACAGTTGTCGTGGTAGACACGACCCTCCGCCCTCCACTGAACTACAGCACGCGACTTGGTACTGCCGGACCGCAGTCGTGCGCGTGTCCTTTTTTACCGTCACGGTCTTCCCTCCTGCACAAAATCAAACCCCGCGGGTACAACAAATGCCTTCGACCTTCAACACGTATTGTGCATGAATACCCGAGGCATGCCGGATGTTGGTACGTTGCCCAAGGAGTGTGAGGGCTGAGCTTTGGACATCTTGGGCACATACTTCAGCGATCGAAGCGTCGATCGACGGGCAGAGGGGCAAATTTGCTCGTATCTCGTATCAGTAATGTATTATACGGTACATGTGATGGGAAACATTGACCATATTCTGAGGAGTTGAACATACGATCCAAGATAAATGTCTCATATCACTTCCTTGTTACTGTCATTCGCGCACTCAGGTCGAGGTTTCTCCAGAAATCAGGCAGTTTTGTTGGGTTGTGCTCTCCTGCTGGCATCGCCATTTTCCTTCAGTGACCTGTATATTCCTGACAGTCCTCGGAATTTTCCACGCCAAAACGAGAGTAGTGGCTGCTCGCATAGGACTTGCATACCACTCTTCCGTCAGAGTAGCTCTTTATACAATAGGCATGCACATTGAGCTAATAAAAAGCTATGCGTAGAGGTGAACTTTAAGAGTAAGATCAACAACTCAAATAATGACATAGAATGAGAAGGGTCACCGTAATGGAGGATCGAAAACGAGGCGATCGAGCCCAGTTCCACAAAACACCCCTTCACCTTAGATGGGAGGTCTTGTGGTTTCTTGGTGAAGGATAAACCTAGCACAAAGACATGCACCTACAGCTAGAACGAATCAGCTCATATGGACTAATCCACAATTGCCACTTTTGAGTCGAAGCCTTACGTACAAATGAACATTTTTTGAGGTTCTTCAAATGCGATAAGATTGCCAAATTCGACCATACCGGCTGATTTTGCCCTGCCTATGGGGGGCAAAATATTAGAACAATAAATTTTCAGTAGATTGCAATAGAACCATAGTATTAGAAGGTACAAAATTTGGTGAGAGTATACAATTTTTGGTTTAAAAGCAAACTCTGGAGAACCGGCGCCACATTGACTGATGATTTTACCTAGAATAGAATTTCGTCTCTTAGAATATATGGTAGAAGTTATTCGGGTACGTTGCAACCCAAGTAAATAATTGTGGTCAAATCGTGAAAAAACTTATATCTTTTGACTGAAAGCAACCTAAAGTCTGTTATTTTTTATAAAAATTTGAAAAGCCCCACTAACTCCGATTCCTTTATATTTTGTTCAAGAATCGTTTGAATAGTGTATTCTGCCGGTTGGTTACTTTCCCAGTAGGATGAAACCTGTACGACGGTCTTCATGACATTCCCCTCAATTATTTGCGGGAGCAGGTTACATTTGCACACAGAGCACGCAAATCCATTTCTTGTGGAACACTTCCATTATAGGAGTTTCTTTTGCAGTACATCCTGCTCAATGATGGTTGTTCAGATATGCATAGAGTCAACAGATATGCATCAAGTCTCGCCTTTACACATTCTGATATGACAAGTTATATAGGTATGATCAACCGTTCGTGAATCACTTTGTTGGACCTCTCGTTCCAGTACAAAAGTGGTAAAGTGATCATAGATATAAGGCCGAGCAAAACGGTCACAGTGAAAGAAACTTTGCAAGGAATGTTCTCACTGGATCTATTGCCCTGTATGAATGTAAGGCTTTTTCTGGTATTCTTAAGCTTTCAAAATCAACAGTGTGTTGAATCAATCAACATTTCTTCAAATATTGTGTACAGCCAAATATCTACAAAGTCATATATTCAATTTTGAGTTTGATGGTGTCCCATTGATTTTTGTCTGCTTTCTGGATTTATCAGTAGTCTCACATGCCCACAAGGGAAACGTTAATAGATTTCCCGATATCCTAGACTGGTTTCCAGGAGCTCACCATATAACGTTGAGGATGCGTTATTCAGAAATGTAAGAACGAATCAGTCAACAGTGATGATCAGAACTGTCAATGAGTGTTACGACATCGTAAAAAGGGAAAAAATCACTCTCCGTATGATATTGCACATCAAAACCAAACATAGAAAATCGAAGTGCCAATCAGACACTTGTGAATGTCGCACAATAATAGGCTCACCTAGAGAAACACTCTTTCCGTGTTTATAATAGTAACAACGCCTCAAGCTTCAGGGGTGGGGAGGTACTAAGAAAGTATTTCTATAGAATTTTGTGAGGAAATTTTTATTAATGCGGATAAATTTTACTCAAAGCTAATAACGAGTAAATTTTAATTTCTCTTAATTTCTTTTAGTTTGACTAACATTAATATATATATATATATATATATATATATAATATGAATAACTGTATAGACATATAGGAATGAATCTGATGCTCTTAGATATTTTAAATCCAACGAATGTATGGTACCATAAACCCTAAACCTAGTTCAATATACCTATCCGTTGATTAAATTTCACAACAAACTGTGTTTAGTACAATTATGTGAAACAAGCCGAAATATAGTTTTTGTCAAAGTAAAGAAATCTACTTATGGACTGTCATTATCTCAGTCAGAAGTGAGGCCATTCTTTCTTCAACTTTCATTTTCAGGCTGTTTAAGACTCATGCAAAAAATCAATACAATTTAACAAGAAAAAAAGAGAATCTCATGACATCATTCAAACCAATAGTGAACCATCAATACTACCATATGAAGTGAGTGACGATAATATTTGTTAGGACTCAAACATGCAGTTGATATCCGAGATTACATAGTACTAAGCCATTGTGTGTTCGGTGGTTTTGAACAATATAAAAAGCATCATCATAGGATACAAATGTGTCCATTGATCTACAAAAATAACTATTTGGTGCAATCTATTTTCAATCATATCAATCTCTTTGCAATCAGTTTATTCCTTGGACGCTTCCATGTTAGTATGCATACAGCTTAGAATGGATAGCTGGGGTATCTAACGTGGGAAGTAAGTATTTTCCGTTGAGATGCTTATGGGGCTAGCTATATCTAACCCTTTGGTTTCATCCTTGTTCAATGTTGTTGAGGTCTTACTTTTCTTCCACATACATCTTATTTGTGTGCACAGGTAAGCAAGAAGAGATGCGTGGTCAGCATATGAAGTACTGTATACAGTGCACTGATGCATTAGCCGTGGCATGGGAGTGGACTGAGCAGGAGTCACGGGATACCGAGGACAGTCAGTGAAAAGGGATTACATTTACCCTAGTTAATCCATCGAGAGCACGAAGTGTCAAAACTATTAACAGTAAACTGGGTGATATCGTCAATCATGAAGAGAGCGGGGATGGAGAAATAAAAATGGAAAAAAGCAGCCAATGAGCGACGTGGATCCGCGGTCTTGATGAGTAAATTTAGTGCGGGGCACCGGCAGCACACCGATAATTTGTCGGTAACCGGTGCAAGAGCGTAGCTTTGGTTATAGTATTAGGTCATACAGAAGGAAATGGGTCAGTGACAACGATAGTGCGCGAAAGACGATTTGTTCGTGCCTGTGCCTGGAATGGCGAATGTGCCCGTCCATCATGATTCCTCGAGGTACTTTTGTTGATTCTTCTGCTCCTGGTTGATCTATATAAGTACTTGCGCTTTTGCTGGGGCATTTTCCCGCCATTTGTTTGCGCTCGAACTCTCGTGCTCGCCACAATTCAGACTTCGCTCCTCAGTAACTGTCTTCTTGTATGATATTGAACGTTGACGAGACGTATGGATGATTCGCAATGTATGGGCAGCGGGGCTTTGATGGAGGTTTCTGCAATCCTCTCTTCTTTTCGTTCGTGTTTTATCGGTGCTGTTCAGTTGCTTCTCTTTGCTCTTCTCTTGACAGTTGGTGTGAGGATGATTTATCTCATCCAGATAGGAAGTGGGGCCTAGCTACGAAGTTCACTGCATCGTTCAGTGACTGTTGTTAGAGGACTGAAGTTCTGCTGCCGTGTTCTGGAACCTGGAGGTCACAGTATTATGCATCAGTGTGCTGCCACTGTCATAACTGCTACGAGTTTGTGTAGGATTTGTGTCTTGCCGTGCATTGAAGTTTTCTCAATAGATGAGTCGGCGTTGCCGGAAGATAGAGCTTTAGATATGCTTTACACACGGCTGGCAAGAATTTTGGATGCAGCTTTCATTTCTTGGTCTTTCTTTTTGACTGTTTGACGTGAAGAGACTTGGATTCAACGCCGAGCATGGATTGAACGCCTCTTAGAAGTTTTGTGACAGACGTCGATGTACTCTACTACTGCTGTTGTCTTGTTTTTGGTGGCTAACGGCGTGACTGTTTCGACTTTCATGATATTCCTGCTGGAAGACGAGGATGGTTAGGAGTACATTGACTTCTCATAGGAGCTGATTTGTGTGCAATATTGTAGATCACCGTCCCAGGCTGCACCTATTTGAGATGATCGTGGTGCTGAACCCCTGTACCCTGGGAATTGTTACCTTGATAATAGTATGATTGCAAAATAGGAGGATTCCTGGTTTCTTACGCTGTCCATCCTAGTTTGTTCATGTATACTATTTGTATCACGATCACGCGTCAGTAATTTTACGCCTAATAACAATTACAACTTTCTAATAACAAAAGAAAAAGTTACGATATGTGAACCCGCATTTCAACATTTAGTTGTGTTCAGTGTGCATTTCACTGTCCATCAATGTTGATTGCAACCGGGTGCCCCCTTGTGTGCAATTTTACTTCAAAGGTGGGAATGTTTGAATGATTGCTCAGAGTGTGAAGTGAATGCAGGGTCATCAAGGAAAGGTAACAATCCCGGATTCAAGACAGGCCCGAGAACGAAGCCTCCAGGGCGCTCAACAGCCCCAATTCTAGGAAGCAGTAGCAGCCTCCAAAGCGACTTATTACGAGAATTTCATGAAACTGGAATTTATGGTCATGCCGAAGATATTGGCATAATTCGGAATGGAGAGCTTAGTCTTCTTAGCAATGGCTCAACTGGTAAGGCTTGTGATATGAAAAAAACAAACAGATTATACCTTTTAGTGTACACTCGAAGCACGATGGGGTCTGTAAAGCGAATAGTTCCGTTGTGCTTGAGCAAGTAGATTTAAAATTCATGGCCGTGTGACCCAATTTACAGAAGGGTAGTTTGAAATTCGATTTGTACAGACAAATCCTCGGTTTTGATATTGTTGTTGCATAGTTCAAGTTCCAAATTCAAATGTATGCAGTTTGTAGCCGTTAGCAAACCAGTAACTGTCCAAGGAGTACACTAGAAGTAACTGTGGATGTGTGCATGTGCGGGAATAATACCTCAGATCTTAGTAAATATGAAATGCTGGTGAGTTATAGCGATGCCTATATAGCTGAATGTGAGGAAAAACTGTAACTGCAACCGATCATGCAAAAGTTTGACAGAAATTAGCTTTGGGTTTACTCATTACGGAGCTTCTATAGAATCTAAGAGAATTTTGGTACTACACAACAGGCGGACATGATTATTCCAGAGGCCCTGGAGAGGGAAAAGATATGCATGGAGGAATGCAGTTCACTTCCACAACAGTTGGTCCGTCCGTTTCGATGGACAGTGGGAGTATGGGATCACCATCTCAAGGAACAGAGGCAACGATGGGAACGCCTGGCCCCAACGGAATTCCATTAAGGCTTCAACATCCAGAAAGCATGGGGGATGATCCCGAATCTCCAGACGTAATAGGGTAAACAACTCCACCTCTCACTAAGCATTAGTTCAGTTGGGAGTTTGCATATGAGCATGAAAATCTTTCTCACTACCAATAAGAACATGTTCTCATAGGATTAGAGTATGGGGTAATCTGCATTGGTTTATCTGACCATGTTGTCTCTAGCATCCAATTCTAAATTTTCCTTATCTTCATACAGTCGAAAGAAAAAGCGGGGCCAACGCACAGCTGCAGGAGAAAAAGGTGGCAAAGGTCTCCGACACTTTAGTATGAAAGGTACAGCATGTCCTTTTCTTCTGATTTGATATAGTTTACATATGTTGAATGTTAGTTCTTTTTTGCACTGGACAGTAATAAGACTTCTGATACCACTTGCTTGTTCAGTATGTGAGAAGGTTGAAAGCAAAGGGCGCACCACATATAATGAGGTATTTATCTATTTGTCCTGTTCATAATATAGTGTAAGCCTGATGATTAGTAGGTATTATGTACTGTCTACAGTGATCAGAAAATGTACTTGATGCATTCAGCATCATTAGTTATAATGTTGGTAGGGTTTATGTTTGAATGGTTCTCGATTTGCTTCTGGTCTTATCTATTGTCAGATCTTGTGGGATAATCAGGAGACTTCTCTAATCGTAATCTCTTCATGCTTTGTCAAATTTGTCATGTTGGGTTTGAAAGAAATAAATTGGAATTTGACGAACTTAACGGACAAGTGTTCATCCCTATTTACAGGTGGCTGATGAGCTGGTTGCGGAGTACAAAAACCCTGATAATGTACTATTTTCACCTGATCAGGTATAGGTGGTGTTAATTTGAGAGGTCTATACATTGTTAGGTTTCCTTAGTTTATGTAATGTCTTTCAGATAATTATCCCGCACCTTTGATCTTGTGGCACTTGTGCTACATTCCAGTTCCGGAAATACGAGATATAATCAGGATACTTCTTCAACACCTTCTAGTGTAGGCCCGTATACTTTCTATACTCTGGAGTTCACAAGGGTTGTAGAAGTGTGGGAAAGGGCCCGCCATAAATGGTTGTGATTGACAAAAGGATCCTGCTCTTGGTGGTTTGCAGCAACAGTTTGACGAGAAGAATATCAGGCGACGTGTTTATGATGCCCTTAATGTCCTCATGGCAATGGATATTATCTCCAAGGAAAAGAAGGAAATTCAATGGAAGGGTCTTCCTAGTACAAGTGCAAACAACGCCGAAGCCTTAAAGGTATAATTCACATTCCATTTCATTGAATCTTGTCGCATTTTATTCCTATGTACACTACATAGCAAGCATCAAATTCGGTATAAGCACTTTCCACGCCTTCTTGACCATTTTGTGATTGTAATGGGTAAGTGGGGAGATTTAATGTTAACTTTTATTTGTGTATATTCATTTCCTGTACGTATGTACCTACCTTCGCCATACGCCTCATTTCTCTCATCCCCCAAGTAAACATCACCTGCCCATTTCCTTCGGGAAGTTTATTTAGCGGGAATGTTAAGGTGTACACTTTTGCTCAGGGTTAAGAGATGCCTGAAGGGGCTGATGAGGTTTCAGAAATAGCGGGAGCAAAGCACATTACTTAATTCGTCAATTACAGTCTCTGGATTTCTGTTAATCATCGGTAGGATCTATGCTAGCACTTTCCTCTCTCGGTACCTTTTGTATCCATATTCACGCTATAGTTCCAGCGTTGCCGTTTCAAGTTAGGCAATTTAATGGTTTTTCTGCTCGCAAGATTGAGAGGTCCACTTTCTTTGCGGTTTCATCGACTGGGGCTCTTTTAGATTATTTCATTCACAGCTTGTTTCACGCCGATTCTGTTGCTTGCAGCTTCACTCTCCTCAGTTCGCGCCTCTGAATTTTTTTGCATTTACTTCAACAATGCTGGTACCTACAGCTTTCATTCGAACTTCAATTTTCTGCCGCTTGTTTTGACGTCAGTTTGAGCCCCAAGTCCGGCTCTGAGTACTTGTACTTGGTCTATATGTATAAGAGAGAAGAAAATATGCTCCTCCTAACATATCATTCTTCCCCACTCAGTAAGCATCTTACGCTTGCATGCGCATCTTCATCTCTTGACAATTTTACGCTTCTCAAGATACTAACACACTTACTCAAAAGTAGACGGGCAATCTTCTATAAGTACATTGTTTTGTTTGTGAGATTTGCGTCCCCTATTTATGAATATCTTTACCTTTTTTTATTACCGAATTATTCTTGGCGGAAGGATGTGCTCACCTCAAAGGTGTGAGTTAAACCTGTCCACATCTGTTACTTGTTGCAACGTTCTAGGCCTTGCCATCAACTGCTAGGAACTACTAACAACGAGGGAAGCTAACCTTGCTACGTGTTCCTGGTTAATTTTACACTTGCAAAGTGTTACACCCTGCGGATACTTTACACTTACTATCTCTGTAAGCAGCGCACCGTCACCTCGAACTATACTTCTTGCCTTCTTTCATGCTCATTGCTACTGACGTTTTAGGGTGTTGTAATACCAATCCGGAGGAGTTTCGTATGCATTCCTTCTCCATCCCCTGTGCGTTTGGACGTGGATACTGGGTACCCATCAACTTAAGATCGAAGCCCTGTGCGACGACCTCCAAATGAAAGTTGATGTGTCATATATCCTTCAAGGTTGCTGACGAGATCTTGGAGGTAGCGGAAGCTACTTGATACACGCTCACGTTCTTTATCGACTAAAGCCTCTGGATTCTATTTTTTATCTATAGAATCTGAGTTTCCAGATCCCTTCCTAGGTACCTTGTTGGTACCTAGTAGCACTTAGCTTCCACTTTCACGGTCTTTCCTGTTGAATCTCGGATTTTCTGGATTGATATTTGCAGTTGTGTGGAGGTTGCTTTCAATCACAGACATCGACATCAGTGTTTTCTCCATGTTGAACCCAAGTAGGTTGCATGCCCATTCTATGTACGAATCAAACTTTCAGTACTAACCTGCAGTTACAACTTGAACCTTACGTGTTGCCACCCCTTTTAATTTCGTCATATGTCCGCTGATTCTATTAAATTCTTATACTTCGTCTTTGCTACATCAATATACAAAGTGAAGGGGCTGGAGCTATCAGTGAATTACCATTCTAGAAGACCTAAGAATACGACCTTTTGTCAAAAATAAGCGGCAAGAGATGTCCTTTAGTAGACGTTTTCTATGCGGAGTATGCCTCCTAAGAGGTATCAAGGTGTGCAAAGGTCCCGTTTATGGAGCTCAGCCTCCGACTGGAGAAGCAGAAATAATATCTACTACAAGACATGCCCGTCGAGAGGGGACCATGGATTTGTGCATGCATCAAAGATTTTTACCTGGTGGAACCAGCCATACTGAACCTTGAAAATTTCTGTTGTTGCAGGCTGAGAGGATCAAATTGAGTGGCTTGCTTGAGAAAAAGGGTGCCTACCTGCAAGAGTTGGAAGAGCAGGTATGCTGAATGTTTCTGGTGTTATTTGTCTTCGCTTTTGAACAAAGGAGGCCAGCCAAGCCTCGTATACCTTGCTTCTTTATTGAGTCCCACTGAAAACACTACTGAAAACATTTACAGAGCACATGAGTCTCCTGCTGCCTCCATTTAAGTATTTTCATTCTCCCTCGTCTCTTGAAGATGCCTTCCAGTTAATAGGAATTATTCTTTTGCAAGTGCTAGACGTAGTGTTTTAATAGAGAATTAGGTCTCGTAGTCCTGAAAATCAAGAGGTCCTCTCGTCTCCTCATTGCATCATCCTTATGATTATGTTCTGTAGATGTGGACCTTTTGGGTTACGTAATTAGATCTTTTCCTATTTTGTTCCGCTAGTGTAGCTCTATGGAAACGTACATTGACATTTACTCCTCAACCACGTGGAATATGAGAATTGAACTTAACTAGGTCTGAGAGCCACTTCAGCTTGAACCGGCAGTGTTGATATTCTGTTGCTTGAACCAACCCCAGTCAAAAAGATTTTGAGCCAGACCCTCAGGTTGAAGCAGACAGCTCCAAAACACTTGTATTGAAACTTAATTTCTAGTGCGTGTGATACGACGTGAGATGCACAGACTCCGATGGCAACCAGTCTGGATATTCTACAAGTTGCTGTGCCTACGTAGTTCGTGAATCCTTTACTAGAGACTGGACAACTTATATTGTAGGTTGTTTTTGGTTTGCAGATCGTAGGTTTACAAAATTTGGTGGACCGGAACGAAAGAATGTATCACATTAAGGGTCATGTACCTGCCGGTGGAGTTGCATTACCGTTCATCCTTGTCCAGGTTTGGTCATAATACCAAGGCAATTAGTGAGGTCGATTTTTAGCGATTTGATTTTGACTTTGCCTTGCTGCTATCTGCTTTTTATCTGCGAAATAATCGATTGTCATTTGTTTGTATGCAAGATTATTAACTCTTGTATAGATACTGGCTGTAGATATTGACTCTCGTATCTGTCATATGATCCAGACCCGCCCACAAGCTACCGTCGAAGTTGAAATATCCGAGGACATGCAATTGGTCCACTTCGATTTCAACAGGTGCTCAGCTCATGATGTTTTGCGTTGGATTTGAATTTCAAAACATGAGAAAAGTTGTGACTAGTATGTTCCCCTAATGTATTACCTAGAAACTTTTGGTTAATAGTTTGCGCTGACGCTTACGTACCTTTTGCAAGTTCACATTGGAGTAGTCTATGTCTGAGCTTGCCAACTAAAAGCTCGTCAAGCGAGATAGAAGTTGAATGTGAGACTGATCCTTGTGGACTTGTTTCCTCCATGCAGCACTCCGTTTGAACTCCATGATGATGCTTTTGTGTTGAAGGCCATGAGCTTTGGTGATGGACAAAACTCTGACAATCGCGACTTACCGTTTACTGATTCTGAGGAGGGTTTTGAACCTGCCTATGATGACCATTCTTCCCCTGTATCTAATTTGTACCATCGCCCTTCTATCATGTCTATGTCTCCGAGGCCTCCTCCTCCTTATTCTGTCTCTACTTCACCTCCACCCGTGCCCAGTATCCTCAAAGCCAGGGTGAAACATGAAAACTATGGCTAACCCCAGTGGACATCCCGAGCTTCAGCTTCTTTTGAAGCTTGGGATTAAGACACATCTATTATATAATTTCATCAAGAAGTTTAGTTGAAGTAATGGGAGGGTGGGTAGCATATCTCGATGACCCTTTTATGGGCATGGGTCGAGATAGAGATGTACATTATTGTTCATATATACGGATCAAAGCATATGCTTAGTTTAATTCATCATTAAGAAGCCAATTTAAGGTTTGATCCAGAAGTGAAATTTAGGCAGTGAGCATCTGTGCCCACGCTGATCATTTCTGAGTTTGTATTTGCATTTGTATCCGGACCACTTTCGTGTCCGGACAGTAGAATCCTAGCTTCTTGAGTAGATCACCACTGCCTGTTATCACTGAAGATATGTTCACCCCATTTTTGCTGAAGAGAACACTGACATGATCTCTGAAAAGTAAAGACTTGAGTCTTGACGGTTGATTATTTTTCTGTCGCAAAACTGCGAATTCAATATTTTCCTGTCCCGTTGTATTTTTCCTCGCGTGTGTGAGTGATGCTGGACTACATCATAAAAGGCTGCGCTGCACCGAAGCTTCCGTTTACACAAAGCGGGAAGTGGAGTAAGAAGATACAATCTCACTGCTTGCCACATTTGGTGAACATCCGCAGCGTTGACTGTCTATAGGTAATCGTACCCTAATTGCAGCTACGAAAGAAAAACACTCAATTCTCCAGAATTTCTGCCCGACAAGATCATTCATTGCGTTGGTTGTCAGTGTTCCGCATGAAACCTGATATATATAGGAGAGTGTCTTAGTAAAAGTCGTTTCCACTCGTGTTGACTACAAGCAAGCACGCCTGGTGCTCATCAACCAGACCCGTACTTCTGTCTTGGCTGTGCACTGAGTATGCAATAGCCTCTTGGAGAAGTGACTGGGGACCAGGGTTTGACATTCCCCCGGGAATCCCCCGGGAATAGATAACTTACTTCCGGAACAGGGGGTGAAACAGGGGGACAACCGGAGGAATCCGCTGGTGCACTCTTGCTAAGAGGGGGCTACACCCGGAGGATTTTAAGGGTTAAACCCGGGGATACCCGTTGTAAATGTCATTTTATTGAAAAATTTTTGGGAGCACTCACACGTAAATAGCGGACTCAATAGCTTTCAATCCACTGAGAACCCCCGGAAATTTTTTCCGAAAATATCCGGGCGACCCCGAGAAATCAAGAATGCTCTAGTCAAAACGTCGGGGCGTAGCCCCGGACGTTTTGTGGCGCATTTCCTGGGTCACCCGGTGGTTTTGAGCCATGCCTGTCAAACCCTGCTGGGGACCCTGTTTCGTCTCTTTGCATGGCAACTTAGTGTGTATGCGGCAAAACGAGCGCCGAAAATTGCTGGGCTAATTTGATAATAACTATTGAACATCTCGAATTGAAGTGGAAGAAAATACATCGAGAGAAATTAATACATTTCTATCATCAAACAAGTAAACTAGTTTGACGCTCAAGTGTGGAATATGTATTGCAAGCATTCTAAAGTGGTATGTATCGATAAACATTTGGGCCCGCACATTACAGCAACTGCTGAAACGAAGTTTCAGCTCAAGTTGAGAGGATTAGCGAGGAAAAGGAAGGATCCATCATTAAGGAAGTCCTCTGTGATTTCTAACCCGGACAGGCTCTCCCAGGCTAGGGACCAACCAGTGTCAAAGTAGCCAAGAGGTCTACGGTCAGTAATGGTGACATCATTGAGGTCAAGTGTGTCCTCATGCCCCAGAGACCTACTTAGCTTAGAACATTCTCAAGCGCAGCAAGTTACGTTTTGTATGCTAATTGTGCGCTAAAACTTCAATCCATGATCTATTTGCAGAACAGATTTAGATCTACAAACGGACTCAGCATCGCCTGGCTCAATCTTCTTTCTGAAGAGGAAACTGAACCTTTAGAAGCTAGCTTTTTATAACTACAAGTATATGTAAACTTGCCGAAAGAATGGTGATAAAGACCTCTTTGTTCTACTTGACCATCTTAGCTGTCATGAGCTTCGCATACCCTTTCATAATGTTTTTCCCTCAAGGCATTTTCTATTATCAAATGTGACCTTCATTTGACTAGTTTTTCACATATTTCTAGAATTAAAATGGACATCAGAAATGAGAGCATCAACTTTGAACGATTTTACGAATTTGAACTATGTCGATGGAAATCATTGGCGTTTTTTTCACTCAGTGAATATTTATTCTTTTAATTAATTTCAACTTCTGCTTCTAGTTCTCATTAAGATATAACGTTTCACTTCTTGACTCATTAACTTGCAGTTCTGCCACTAAGTATTAAAATACTCAATGTCAATTATGTGGAAAAGAATAATTTAGTGCATATTTTTTCAAACCATATAAAAGTCAGGAAATTGAAGATTTTTCAAGAATCAAATGATTGATCGTAGCAGGAAGCAAACCCTTACAATCAGAAACACCGCCCGAGTCGTAGAAGAGAGAATACACAAAGTATCTACAGGAGTGCTGGTAAGGAACCATGGTCTTTGAGCCGCTTATCAGCTATATACATTAATAATTTCACTAAATTAGAAAAATCTCATAGTTACTACCCTAATGATTTCCTGTCAAAAATTTGCATCTCAACATGGTTATTCCAAAGTTAAATTAGGTGCACAATTTTTTTCCTGAACCAACGGGCAAGTCCGTTTCAGTTTCATATGTACACATTTGATAACAAAAAAGAACAATATCAATATCTATAACAGCTAGTCTAAAATTCACCAGTGTTTAGAATAGAGTAGACTAATGAAATAATTGTTATGAGAAGGAAAGCAGTGGCATAAGGAAGAGATAAAACAAATGAAGATACTTAGATTTTCAAGTTTTTCTGTTGTCCTGGATAATGTCGCAATATTGTTCGTGGGGGAATAGAAATGCACAAATAATAGCAGATTGTCTACTTAGCACCATTGCACTAGACTTGCATTACGGATGATCATGCCATTAGAGATCATAAAAGTTCAATAAAGTTCAGGCTCTGAAAATGTGACCATGGTGTACAGCTGCAAGTGTGGAGTTGAGATCTTTGAAATACTCTTATATTTCACATGACCATATGATCTTTGTACCCGTAACATCATTTGCTCAAAAGTTCACTTTAGACTTTTTCAGCATATGATGCTTATACTTAATTGTAGAACTGATATCCATTTCTATATACAAAGTTGTGATTTAGAACCTTTGTACAGTCCAGAAGTCATGCTGGATTGATCAATTTTTACCAGGTCAGTTTAGGCTCATGTATTAGTTCTATTCAATTTTATAGCTAGGCCAGCGGTTCATTCTGCTAATACAGTGATTCATTCTTATTGACACTTGTATGCAAGAAGAACTTCATTATTATAGTACTTTTTCTTTCAACTTCTCTGTCACGATTCGGATGATCCATCTTACTAAGTGAAGACCTTTTATCTATCTTTTGTGCATCACGCAGTAGCGTTTGAAAAATACGAAGTGCGCCATCTTGCAAAGCTGTGAAGTTTTGTTGGATAGAAGTCGTGTTTTAGGTTCGCATCTTAGGCTGCTGCCACACGACCGACAGCCGGCACTTACCTCATACTGGCTAATAGATAAGGGAATCTTCGTTGGCCTCGCTCGGCCACCTGGACACAACCCCTTAACAACTATCTCACGGCCGGCAGTTTTGGAGTGAAAAGTACTTGTCGACGAACACAATATCACTACACATTTTTTTTACTCTTTTTTACACGGAGATTCTTGTACCCTAAACTTCAATGTTCATTTTCTTTCACTTCCTACACGGAGATTCTTGCACTCTAAAGTCTAGTTACTAAATTCCATGTGTTTTTCATCAAAGTTTGCAATCTTCATTTTCTTTCCATAAACTACCACAATGTAAAATGACGTCCACTGTTTCATATTTCTTCTTTTATTGCAGTTCACATTGTTTTGCACGATGAAATGTGATAGAGATGAAGTTATCATTTTGATGTGCCATTGGCAACAAACTTATTGCATATCGATTATGAAGCAGAGATTCATGTTGGGAAGAGTGACTAGGTCTCGACGTTTATGGGTCTATGATAGAGGGCTAGGGGAACTCAGGTTGTTCGACCGAAACTTGCTCGCCTCATTCAATGCGAGGGAGTTCAAAAATTGCATGTGGATGGATGTTTCCACATTTGAGTTCTTGTGTTCCACTCTAACGCCTTCATTGCAGAAATAGGATTTCAACATGCGGTCGACTATACCGGTTCAAGTTAAGATAACGGTCTTCATCTCAAGATTGGCCGCAGGTAACTCCATGCATTGCGGATTTATATAGGATTAGTTTGTCAACAAGTCAACATGCTCTCAACCAGTTCACTCATGTTGTGAAATTGCTACTCCTCAAAAAATACATTTAGTGGTACTCCACCACCACTATGAATAAATTTGCTAGAAAATTTGAAGATTTTTATGGAATACCGTATGTGATTGATGCGATGGATTGTTCTCACACACTAATCGTGGCACCTAGGCTACATGCGACTGATTATTACAATCGTAAGGGATTTCACTTTATACTATTGCAAGATGTTGTATCTAGCAAATGTTTATTTTGGAATTTTGACATAGGATGTGTCAGATCCATGCATGACGCTGACCAATGGGGAAGAACCGCGATTGGCCAATTTTGCGAAGTTGGAAAGCTTGCGCCTTATGCTTTGGTTGGGGATGCGGCCTATCCATGCTGCGATTGGATGTTATATGCCTTCAGGGGTCACAAAGACGAGCTTACTCGAGAGGAATACAGATTGAACTTTGTTCAGAGTTCCACTCGTATGTGCATTGAGCGAGCATTTGGAATGCTAAAGGGTAGGAGGCAAATATTGTTAAAAAGTATTGACGTGCATGGGCATGTGAAACAACATTCGTCATGTCAAACATAAACTCGTCCACCAAGAGATATCATCGACATTTCTCCGATTATTGCGATCTCGACTTCATATTCATCGTCTTGTATTCTTTGTAATCGTTATAGATTGTACTCCAATTCTTTTTACATGCTTCACTGTATTTATTGAAATCAACATACATTGACACAAGCTTCATGTGAAGCCGTGATTAATTACCAACACCTGAACATAACACCAAAGCATAAGAGTATATTTAAAAACACAAACAAATACATACAACTAAAAAATCATCACGTACAAACAAGTTTAGTCGATCATCTACACATCTGTCTTGCAATATGCAGTTATTGAGGAGGCATCAATGACCTTGCAGAGGAACACGTTTTCACAAATCCTTCATCACAGATCTGTAGTATACTCTATACTAGTTTGTGTCTCACCAATATATGTGTTGGTACTTCAAGTACATAATTTAGATAGAAAAGAAAATTGTGATCAATTGTGCAAGTAATCGCAATGTCCATCTTGTATCACAACTAAACAAGAAAGGTTGTTGAAATGAAATGACATCAGGCTTTCACTTTGGCAAATTCTATCTGATTCATCCGAGACTCCTACATTGACGAAGTGCCTATGCAAACTTTTCTTCCAGTTCATAATAGTTCAATAACTTGGTTTTCCACCATCTTTATTGAGAGAGGGTTGTAGTGATAGATCGGACCTTGGAATCTTTGAAGTTCTATACGATTTAGTCAAAATATGACACTTGTAACATACTGATGAATTTATCCGTTTCATAAAGAGATGCATGTACTCAGTTGGACTTGCGTAGATTGCAATGTTATTGATAGTCACAAGAATGTCAAGTCGTGCA